AAAGTTTTTTTCCATAGGTATCCTAAAATATTTGCACCCAGAAGTGCACATTTACCGGTTTCATTTTTTTATCGTGCATGGTTGCATCGCATTCTCTGCCAGTACTATTTGGGGGCAATCCTGATTGACCTAAGTCTTTACATTTCATTTATTTTAATTACATTCATTTTAAGTCATTGAAATCACCATTTTTCCTTTTCAATTTTCACTTCATTCATTTCAATAATTCTTTCTTTCACAATATACCTTAGATTATAAAATCCAGTACATGAAGCAATAATGTAATTATTCATTAAGAAAAAAAGAAAAAAATTATTCATTTGCTTAAAGTTTTTTATAAAAGCTTATTCATTCACTTTACTTCCTTAATTACCACCTATATCAGTTAAACGTGCATATAATTATAAGAATTTCATTTAAAAAAGACTTAAATATATCTAATTTATTTAAAAATTTTTCTTTTAAATTGCTTTTGAATCGAAAATTCTTACTAGTTCTACTCATGAAATCTATCCAACGAAATATAATTAAAAATGACACATATAAATAAGTATATAAGTCCTTAGTTTAAAAGGTTTGGTTTGCTTTCTTCAATAAGATTTCTCTTTTTCTCCCTTACAATTCTATTTGATTTACCATCTAATATTCCTTCTTCAATATATGATTAAGTTAAACTTATTATCAATATTTAATAATTAAACGATTATTTCAATTCAAAAAATTAACATCATAAAATCCTAACTTATCTTTGTCTTTGGCCACATAAATTAGAGCTTGGCTCTCCACTTCACACCTATGATTCTTCCTCTCCCCTTGTATAAGAAGTTCGCATCTCCTTACTGCTACAAATTCGGGACTTAATAGCTTCGATCTTAGCACAATTAAACTTTGTAGTAACATTAATTAAATAAACTCACACTCGCATATCTATATTCTCATAAAATTTATTGAATAACTTAATGAAAATATTTAACTCACCTTTATATGTTTTGGTTTACACGAATGAGGCTTATACGCATGTGCCTTACCTTGGACTTCGACTTTCCTTCCTCTCAATAGAACCACACACTTCCTCCTCCTCCTCCTTCTCCTCCTCTGGCTATGGTTCGACCGCGAGGCTCGATTCTCTCCTTCTCTGCTCACACCTTCACGCCGAGTCATTCATCTTCCTTTGCATGCGAGCACAACGTCAAAGCCGTTCGAAATCCTTCCTTCCTCTTCGGTCAGGACTCAATCCAACACCACACACGCACGATGTCCCATCCTCCTTCCTCTTCCTCTGCACGCCAGCACGACGCCAAAGCTGTTTGTCCTCCTACGCTCACGAGGCTTCTCCTCCTTCGTCTAGGGCTCGACGTCTAATCTCAGGTAAGAGAGATGCACACGACAACTCTCTTGATATCTTTCCTCTCCTTCTTCAATATCGTTGCTTCCTTCTCCATCCTCTCATCTTCCTTCTCCTCAAAATGATTGGCTAGGGCACAACATCTCGCTCGTTAGGGGAAGTGTGAAAGATGCGTGCACTAAGCTTCTTGTGATGGGGGTGCTTCTCCTCTAACTAAAATCTATTTATTTATTGTTTAAAATTTCACTTATTACATCGTTATCCAACATAATTGCTTGCACAACTGCTCTGCACTATTTCTGCTTGTGATCGAGAGAATCCCACGCCTCTGCTCTGTTATGGTCACTTGAATGCAGCCTCTTATTTCACATTTGGTGAATTTTTGGTCCACCTCATTTTTTTCTTGCCATGCTCTCTCCTTTCATTTCCAATTGATGCTTTGCCTCCCGTCCCATTTTCCAACTTAAATCAATCTCCTTTGTTGTTGATGCTTCTACTTTTTTGTTTCCTCCCTTCTTTTGCCTTTCCCAGGGTTGAAGTTGAGATCCATATTAGGCCATCTCCCAATAACCCTAAGACCTCCCATTATCCAACATGCTCATGTTGTTGGTGTGCTAATCATTCATCCCCACCTACCAATCTTTTCTCCACTCTCTTCAATCGGGATGCAAACCCAACGTTCTTCCACATTAAAAGATAAATTTGCTCTTAGCTTTTCAGAAGATGAGATCATCGAGCATGTTAAATCTCTTTGCCTTTTCTATTATGAGTAAATTTTCTTTGGGTTGTTCTAATATGAAAATCATCTGTAACTTTTGTCAGATGTAAAATTGGTTGGCACCTAGTATGTTGGGCTTGTGGATTCTCATCTTATCATAATTAAGTTAACATCAGAAGCTAATTGCACTAGGCTTTTTCTTGATGAACCTATTATATTATTCCAACGCGTATGCTATATAGTCACTTCTCTTTGACTCTTCAGAGGAAACATTAATTACTATAATTTGGATATCTTTTTCTTGCCTTCGGCTTCATTATTTCAACCAATTATCATTGTATTCATTAAGATTAATATTTGGCAAACCCTTACAAGTAGATAATGCTATTGCTCATTTTTCAAAATCTTAGGTTGACCATATGCTAGTTGAGCTTGATCTTCTCATTTGGAAGAAATATGGATTGGCTCACTTGCTTGTGGATATTGGCAAAAAGTAGAATTTGAAAGCATCCCAGCCTATTGTTCATCCAGAAAAGTTTTTGTTATAGTTTTGCTGATTGCTTAAAGGCACATTTAGAATTAAGGAGTTAATTTCTCAAACACAAGTGGTCATTCCACAGGAGTAAAGTCAACCTAACATCAACTTGGAAGCAATTTAATCAGACTAAGTCTACAATTAGGATGTGGGATCAGCATTCTTTTAGTGTCGAAGATCTTTCTCCTCCTTGTCATGTAGTAGTAGCAGCTGCTTCTTCACCCCTTATCTTTTCATTAATCTAGATCCATTACTTACAACAGAGCTTCGAACTCCCTAAAGTTGTGATCACATTGATGATATTCATACCTTTTAATAGTATGCTTTAGATGGATTACTCACAGTATTGACTCGTTAGTGAGTAAAATGTTTTAGCTCATAGTTACCGGGCGACGCAGGAATGAAAAATATCTATCGTCATTCCCCTATCTTCGTTTGACTCCAAGGAGATAAATGATCTATTTTGTAATTTTCATGTATCTAATAATTTAGTTCATGTTCTTCATTTTTATGATTGGTGTAATTTTTTCTTTTTTTCTCTAGCAATTATTGTTAATTGCTCTTTTGTGCTTCTATCATTTGATTGCTATAAAATTCTGGTTTTATTAAAAAACTCATTAACAGCTTTACTAAAAAATAATAATAATAATTAAAATTTTTTGCTTGTCTTTGTTACATTACTCTTATAATTGTCTCATTAGCTTAGCTCGATTATAACTGTCATTATTTTTAGCTTCTTTGATGTCATGAGTTAAGAATTCCTCATCTTCAATCATTTAATATGCTATTCAGTCAGTCTTTGGAAACATATTATTTGGACCTAATGCTTTACGTTAATACTTCGTCAAATCTAAATATTTTTTATTTTTTGGATAATCCTAGATTATAACTTAAATTGGAGCACTTAAAAAAAAAAGAGGAAAAAAAGAGAGAGAAAAAGAAAAATAATCCTAATTATCTTCATTAAACCAAAGTGTAAGCCACAATCAACACGACCTCCACAATGTTTGAAGAACCTCAAGCTGCACCTTTAGGAATGACCAGTTATCTAACACACTGGAAAGAGGCGCACCTTAGTTAGGGAATGATATAGATAGGATACTGGACAATGATGATGACTCAGTGACAAGCAACATATCTAGTTTTTGTTGTTCCTAGCTGATGAAGGTTAATATAAATTGGATTTCTGGAGAGAAACGATTGAGATAATGAAAACCTTTCGAAAAGAGTAGAAAACTTAGCAATTGGTGAATGAACGGAAACAAACAAGCAAGTGCTTTAGTTGTTGCATGTGCTGTATGAGTTTGGAAGTAAGGCACTACGTTAATTTCTCAAATTCTCTAAACTCAACTTTTAAACTTTTAGGTTTAATAAATTCTATTAGAATAGGGAATTTTGGCTGATCTGCTTCAGTTTGAAGTTTGAATGAATTTTTCCTGGGGCAACATGCGTCATTTTGAATCTTGTTGTTTGATCTGATTGGAAAAGAGTTCACTGAGATTGTTCTAACCAACTAATCTGATATTATTCTAGAATCAACGAGTTTCTAGCAACATTGAATTGGCAGGGAATTCTTTCTAAACTCTCTCTGGGTTTGTTATTTTTTAGTCCTATTGAGATTCCTTTTTGGGTGAATTTGCTGTACAATGAGTTGTTTGTAGCAATATAATGTTTAGCATAAAACTGTGATAGCTGGGCCTAGTGGATTACATTTAAGAAACAGTAGTTTGGATTTATATATCAGGAGTTAATCAAGAGTTGTGCTGTCACATTTTCTATTTTCGTAATATACAGCTGATGATTTTACATTTTCCATTTTCTTGTCAGAGTATTTACTAGATTTCTAAAAGCTTGCTATATGATCCATTTGGGTAGTTAATTATGGGCATAGCAAGGTTCGGCTGATCAATTTAGGGACGCTCCCAACATATGCCACCTTAGTAGGCTTTTGCTTGCAGCAATTGCCGGAACAAATAGCAGTCTACTTGTGTCTCCCTCCTAGTATATGTTGCTGCTTGTGTGATATTAGATGCAGGTGCTTTCTGCATTTACCAACTACTACCCTTCACCAACCTCCATTCCCAACTATTGCCAACAGCCTACTCTTCTATGCTCTACCTTCCAACCAATTATTTCCTTCCCAAATCCAGTATTATAGACTCAGATTCCTCTTATATTGATTTTTTTTATTCCCCTTATTGAGTTTTGTCTGCCAACCATAGCTAAAAATGGACTAAATTTGTCGAGCAAAAAATATTCAGAGTTGATGTTTTTTTCAGCATATTAATTGTGATGGTCTTATGTCCTATTCATCATATTCTTTCAAGATTTTTTAGTATTACATGGCTTGTTTGTAGTGTCAATGTTATCCGTTGATGATTTATTGGTTCTCTTTCTTTCAGGGGCTACATTGAAGCAATACGGGAGATAGAACAACAAACTAAGTGCAGTTTTGGTGGAGTTCATTTTGATGACATTGTTGTTGCGTGCGGCAGGTTATACTCTGTTATTTCGGAGCAGATTTTATAGTAAAATGATACCATCTTTACTCCTATAGCAAGCATCTTCTTGTTGCATTTGTCCTTTCGAAAGTTAGAACAAGTTGAAGCAAATTGTAGTTGCAAAGTAAAAGGCAAACATTTTTTTTCCTCTTTGAAATAAACAAGATTCTAGACAAACGCCGCAGCTTAAGAATATTATTAGTGTTAAAAAAACCAAATATCATATTGTTGACTTTAAAAGATTTTTAGTAATTATTAATATTATTAACAAAGATTAATTAAGCTTAATTAATATAAAGTTCCTGTATGCATGTCCCACTAGATGCCATAACTGTTCACGCTTTTGAAGTTCAAAGTACAAAAAGTCGAACGATGGTGTCACAATTGGGCGTGATAACTTAGCATTTAATTAAGTTAGGAACCACGGTTGGATGATATTAACTTTTAATTTACTTTCCATAGATTTTTATGACTTCTAATATATAAAAAAGCCACTATAAAATTATGAAGTACACTATATAGGAATTAAAACATCTAGAAAGAACGACAAAATCTACAGACAATCTTTCATTAAACATATAACATCTCACTACCCAGGAGAAAATAGTACAAAAGGAAAAGTGCAATCAAATCACAACATAATACCTTTCAGCTGTAGTCCCTTTTTATAAATTACATTTCTCATGTCAGACATATCAATGTACAATTTTTCCTAAAAGAAATAATTAAAATCAATAGTAAGTTTTCATGACTTAGTGAACAATTACAATCTTATTATGCATAAAATTCATATAGAAATGCTATGCATAAATAACCAAAAAAATGTAGTTCATTACTTAATAAAATTGTAAGCTTTCATTTTAAATTGAACCCTTCCCATTTGAGCTTAAGCAATTACCATTTTTATCCTCTTTAAAAAGTTGTATAAGGATTGCCGTCATACTTGATATTTTTAAAATTGTATTCATAGGTACCCTTAAAAATTTGCACCCGCACCCGAAGGTACACCTTTACTATTTACATTTTTTTTTTCATGCACGCGTACATCGTATTTTCTGTCAGTACCAGTTGAGAGTAATTAAGATTGATGTAAACATTTACATTTCATTTAAGATTATTTAAACCACTATTTTTCTTTTTTTATTTTCACTTTATTCATTTCAATATTTCCTTATTTCACATGTCTCTGATTATAAAAGCAGATATATAAATCAATAATGCAATTTTCTATTTAAAAAACTATAATTTAATACATACAATAAAATAATTACTCACATTAACCTTTAAGCGAACTCCGTAAAGTTTATGTCTCTACTTCACTATATCATCAATCTTTTACCAATCTAAAAAGGAATAGCCTTCTTCCACACATCCTAATTGAATAAAATTTAATAATATTCATTTAACTAATTATATCATTTATTCTAATAACAATAATAACATTAACAATTACCTTATCATCTTCTTGGATGGATCTCCCTCCAAGCTGAAATTTATATATCTCGAGTCCTGATTCAATCAAACTGTCTATTAACATTAATCAAGTACACAACATTTTAAAATTCATTAAATTACCTAATAAAACCCTAATATACCTTTCTCTTCAGCCTCATGATTAGAGATTCGACTCTGCCTCTCACGTGCAAGCCGCCTACATCCTCTTTTAAATGCATGTAAGGCTAAACTTCCCCTTCTCTTCCTTCGATCTCAGCTCGACTTAGCACAACACACGTGCCTTTTTCTTCTTTCTCCTCTACCTCGACATGTGAGTCTAGACTCCCACCCGTACGCACGAGCCTTCTCCTCCTTTTCCTCTGCACGCGAGCACATAGAGTCTCTTCTCCTTTGCTAGGGCTCGAGTTCTATTTCCTCTGCACGCGAGCACGTAGAGTGTCCTTCTTTCAGTTAGGGCACGACGTCGCCTTCTCCTTCGGCTAAGCAAGCTTTGAAGACTCCCATGCCCGCAATCAGCGACATCTTTCCTTCTCTATCTTCTTCCTCTTTTTTCCTTTTTCCATCTTATTTTTTCTTTCCCACTCTGTATCTTCTTGTTTTTTCTCTCACTCTCTCTGTCGATTCGTTCGAAGAGGTTATACGACTATTATGTCAAAATTGTAGAGATGCCCATATTTGATTATTATATTATTATTATTATTAGGATTTATATTTATTAATATTTATTTATTTTATTTATTTAACGGACAACTATTACAATCTTTTTTGAAAACATTCAATACAAAAATATACCTCAAATGAAAAGATATGGACATCTTTCTTGCATATGGGAAATTGTATCCCAAGTACCATCATTCTCCGATCTATGCTTTAATAAAATCTTCACAAATGACATTTCTCTATTATGAAGCTTCTTAACATCATATTCCAAAATCCTTTGGCTATTTTATATAACATAATAATCAGATTGTATATCTATTGAGTCTGCTATCACCCACTATACTTTCAAAATGAAGAAATGTAAAATATATTATGCACTCCTTGCATATGAGCTGATAGAGCTAATCTGTACGTCACATTTCCAATCTTTTCCACAATTTCATAGTGGCCTAAATATGTGAGACCCAATTTTTCTCTTTCCAAATTTTTGCACTCTTAAAGTGACTGACTTTGATAAATACAAGTTCTTCAATTTTAAACTCCACTATTCTATGCTCAACACCATAATATTTATGTTTATCTTGTACCACTCTTAATCTGTCTCTAATCAGCTTAATATTTTCAATAATATCATCAACTAAGCCAGATCCAATAAACTTTCTTTCATTGCTTCAGCAAAACATATTGGTGTTTTGCACTTTCTTCCATACAAGCTTCATATAGAGTCATCTCAATGTTAGCCTGATAAGCGTTATTGTAATTAAATGTTATTAAAGGTATATATGATTTCCATCTTTCACTAAAGTCAAGAACACAACCTTAGTAGATCCTCTAAAGTTTGAATTGTTCTTTCTGACTAACCATCTATCTGAAGGTGAAAAGTTGTATTAAAAGTCAATCTGATGCCCAACGGTTCTTGAATCTTCTTCCACAATCTGGAAGTAAATCTTTCTTCTCTGTCGGAGACAATAGACTTTAACATTCTATGCAATCTCACAATTTGATCCACATATAATTTGGCTAATCACTCAACTGGATACGCTTGTCTAATGTGCAAAAAAAGGGAAAACTTAGACAATCTGTCAACAATTTACCCAAATAACATCACGATTTTGTCGTGACCTAGACAATCCAATCACAAAATTCATAGCAATCTCCTCCATTTTTTACCTTAGAATCGGTAAAGGCTATAACGGACCTCAAGGATACTGATGTTTTGCTACACTAACTGACCTGAAGATACTTAGCTACAAATTTTGCCACTCTCCTCTTCAATCCCAGCCCCTAAAGTGTCTCCTTGAGATTTTAATACATTTTATTACTCCCTAGGTGAATAATATAGCCAAATAAATTTGTCTTATCTAGAATTTTTCATCTCCAATTACCAACATCTGGAAAATAAACCATGCTTTTATATTTCAATAAATCATTCTGATCTAGCACATACTTCTCCAAAATGCCTGCCTTACACTACTCTAGTATTTTTATCTCTGGCTAATGAATCATCGATCTTGCATTTTAAATTGGACTGCACTGTCAACTTATTTAATTGAACTATACCATCATCACTGTAATTCATTAAAAATAGTTTTAGTTTCTCCAAATCTCTAAGTGATTGCTTCTGCTGAGTAAATAAACAATAAACAATTCAAATTACTTGTTTCTTACTCAATGCATTTGCCTCCACATTTATCTTTCTCGGATAGTACTGAATATCTAAATCATAATATTTAATGAGCTCCAACCATCTGCTCTTCCTCAAATTTATTTTTTTCCGAGTGAATATATACTTTAAACTCTGATGATCTGTAAATACCTTACATCTGACTCCATATAGATAATATCTCCATATCCTAAGTGCAAACACAATCGCCGTAAGCTCCAAATCATGTGTGGAAAAATTTCTTTCACAATTCTTAAATTGCTTTAAAGCATAGGCAGTGACCTTTCTATGCTATATAAATATACAAACATAAACCTTTTAAAGATGTATCACTGAAAATATGAATCTCAACTGATCCTAAAATAGTAGCCAACATTGAAGCAGTCATCAGGGAAGAATTCAGATTCTGAAAAGACTCTTCAAAATGATCAGTCCTATCAAACTTCACTGCCTTCTGAGTCAATCTAGACAATGACAAAATTCATCTACAAATTTCTTGTAATAATTAGTTAAACTTAGAAAACTTTTGACCTCATTTATAGTAGTTTGTTTTAGCTAATCTGCATCACCTTGATTTTATCATAATCCACAAAGATATCATTTCCACTGACAATATGCCTAAGAAAAACTACACTTTTAAGCCAAAATTCATTTTTAAAAAATTTGGCATATAATATATTCTTTTTAAAACTTGTAAAACATGTAAATGATCTGTATGGTTGGCTTCATCACTACAATACACTATAATATCGCCTATAAAAACAATCACAAAAGTATCCAAAAACTTTTTGAAGAGCCTGTTAATCAGATCCATGAAAAATGTTAGATTATTAGTCAGTGCAAATGACATCCAAATTCATAGTGCTCATATCTAGTCCTTGAAGTCGTCTTTGACATATCTTATTCTTTAATCCTCAACTGGTGATAACCCTGGCCGTAGATTAATATTTGAAAATATATAGGCTCCTTCCAATTGATCAAGCAGGTCATCAATTATCCGTAGTGGATATTTGTTTTTAATTGTGAACTTATTCAATTACTTGTAGTCAATGTATGTTCTAAAGCTCTTATCCTTCTTCACGAATAATATTGGAGCTCCTCAATGTGAGTTGCTAGGTTTGATGAACCCCTTATCTAGCAATTACTGCAATTAACTTTTCAAATCCTACAACTTTTACTTGTGATTCTGTCGAGTGCCTTGAATACAGGCTCAGAA